TGACTCAGGACCTCGGTAGGGTGTGAGGGACAATTCAGCTGCTGCAGTCTGCTAAGTCTACTTCTCCATTCCACTGGTGCATTTCTCCATGGAGGCCTCTGGGATCACCAGTAGTTGTCGTGTGTTCGGCCGGTACAGGTTTGGCCAGACTGTCTCTCACTGAATGTCTGGGCTCTCAGAGAGAGTGCTGCTTGCTACCTATCTCCTCTTCATTGAAGTCACTCTCTTTACTCTCCAGTTCTCACCTCAGATCCTTCCAAGATCCCAGGGACTCAGTTTCCTCCTTCTCCTCGCACTGCTATATTCCAGTATCAGGAAACCAAATCTCAGAGAAGCTCTTTCTCTGATGCTTACTGCTCTGCCATCTTCCCGGAGGTCCTCTGAATCCTATAGTTCTTAGTTTTGATTAAGTCCCATTTGTCTATTTTTTCTTTTGTTTTCTGTGCTTTTGGTGTCATAGCTTAGAAATAATTGTGAAATTTAATGTCGTGAAGTTTTCCCATAATTTTAGTTTACTAAATGTTGCCAGAGATTTAGCTCAGTGGTTTCACTGCCTGCTGCACAAGCACAAGGACCCGAGTTCGATCCCCAGTACCAAAAAAAAAAGCCATTACATAAATGTAAACATTTAGTTCTTTGATACATTTTGTGTTAATTTTTGTGTGTGGTTTAAGGTAAGAGTACAACATCATTTTTTGCATGTGGCTATTTCATTTTTCCAGCACCACTGTTGAAAAGATAGTCCTTTAGATTACTCATGGTTATGGCACCCTTGTTGATCAGCTGGTCTTATACACAAGGGTTTATTTCTTGTCTGTCTGCTCTAGTCTGTTGGCTTATATGTCTGTCTTTGTGCCACTGTCACACTGTTTTGATGACTGTAGTTTTGTGGGAAGTTTGGAAATCAGGAAGGGTGTGACCTACAACCCTGGTTTTCTTTTTCAGAATTGTTTTGGCTCTTCGGGGTTTATTGTTCATCTTGGAATTGGATTTTTCCTGGGTCAGCTCTTTGTGAAAGTGGCCTTGGCCCTCTTCTGTAGTTGTGGGGAATGGGAACATGGGCTGGACAGCTCTGTGGACACCCGCGTCTCATCCTGATGCTGTGCAGAAGCAGATTGCTTCCAGCAGATGTGGCTGTCTGGGTGCTCTAGGTCTGGTCCCTATGACTAAGGCTTTGGAGATCTGTTCTGCCCATCATTCTGAGAGAGAACCTTTGTACAGGTGCTTTCTGAGATCTGCCCCTGCAGCTCCCAAGCCCCATGTGCCTGTGCTGCTCTCCCCACCTGCCAGGACTCTGCTTTCTCATTGCTCTGGATAGTATCCCTCACTGAGATTGGGGCCTGAAAATTGTGTTTCCTGTTTTTTTGTAAATATGAAGTTTAGGTTTTTAAATCTTTTCTTTGTTAGTTTGTGGGGGGGATCTTGTTTTAGTGTGATTTCTAAAAGGAAATAGAAAAAAATTGCTAATCTGTGCAGCCAGCTTTTTCTTACAATTAGTGTCCTCCCCATAATGACCTACTAGAATTGTGAACATTTAGAAAAGAATAATGAGGGGGTCAGTGGTAGAGCACTTGCCTAGCATATGTGAGATCCTGGATTTCATCCATGGTACCACAAAAAACAAAACAAAACAGAAACCAAGAAGGCCTAATGACATGCGTATGTGCAGTTATAAAAAATAATGTAGTTCAGATGCCTATTCTGGTGCCTGTATGCAGGAAGCCTTTAGCAAACTTCCCTGTGTCCTTGTCCCCTCTGCCATGATAGTAGGGCTACCAGCCATGGCAGGGCTGAGCTTGAGGCTAGGGCAGAGGTGAAGCCAGTGAGACTCTGAGGGCATATGGGCCTGGCCAGGATGCTGCTCAGGGTCTATTGCTCTCAGCACCTCGGACAGCATCCACATGTTGCCTGGCTCCTCTGACCTGAGCAGCCAGGTTAGTGTATGTCCTGACCACCTGACCTTACCCCTGCAGGCCTCCAGTACATGGCTGGAGGTTCAGGGCTGCCCCGGTGTCCTAGCCACTGGCCTGGCCTGCCACTCAGGTACCAGCTGGTGGGGTAGGCAGTCAGGGAAAGTCCTGGGAAGTGGGGATAAGTTTTGGAGAAGAGAGGAGATTCTGATGGGGTCCCAAGAAGAGGACAGGACCCAGGTATGAGAAGAACAGCCATTTTTCCTGCTATTCAGGGTTTATTGTTTATTTTGGAATAATCCATGTTGCCTAGTGGGGGTGGTGGTAGTAGGAGCACAGGTATGGTTGTTTCCATTTTATGTAGGAGGACCTTGAGGCTCAAGGAAGCTGAGGGACCAGTGCAGGCCCTCATAGTAGAAGGTGGGATATCTTGACCTTCCTGCTGGTGTGTATACTTCTAGGGGGCTCTTGTTGACTTTGAGCTCCATACTCAGGACAGCACCTGCCCAAATGTTTGCCCAGTAAATGACCATCCATTCTGTCTTTACATGATTACCTCCACCAATATGAGGGAGAAATAGTATTTCCTCAAGTCATTTGGGAGTTTTAAAAACTCTTGTGAACTCCTGGCATTCCTAATACTTCTTTTGAGCTTCTTGGCTCTGGTGTAATATGGCCCTAGGGCCCCAGCTACTGGCCATGGCTTTTCCCTCTATCCTCTACCACACTGGCCTTGCTAATGAGCTATGTCCATTATTTACCTTATGAAGCTTCAAGGCTGAGATGAGGAGCTGACTGAGTCTGGTAAGAAGGTCCTGGCTTGGAGTTGCCATGTACAATAGGCCTTGGTCAGGGCTGGGCTAGTGTTATGGCTTGTATCTAGATGTCCCCAAGAAGCTTCACATAGTCATAGGTTGGGCTTTTTGGAGGTGGCTGGATCTAGGGTTTGTGCTGCTGGGATCAAAGATGTGATACTGGGATTTTTTCATGGTGCAATGCTAGGATTAAGGGTGTGAGATATATGGGACAGAAAAAGCTGTGGCCATAGCTTGTTGCTAGTCACTTGCTTGCTTTTGCTGTCTTCTACCTGCCATGAGCTGTTTCTTCTCTATGGTGCCTCTCTGCTATGCCACCCTGCCTTGGAGCCATCCAATTATGGACTGAAATCTCTACAAACTGTAAGTCAAAATAAATCTTTCCTCCCTTAACTTTGAGTGTCAGGTGTTTTATCCAAGCAAGAGAAAAGTAACTTAATACAGAATTTAATACCACAAGTGAGGTCATTGCTGTGACTGTACCTGATCATGTGGTTCAGGAGCCTTTGGAACTGCCTTGTGAGAAGAGTTTGGAAAGATTAGGAGATGCTGGCTGAAAAAGCAGTGCTGGAATCTCTGAGGCTGTCCTTGATGGGAGATTTTGGTCAGAGCTCAGAAGACCAAAAAGCTGATAGAAATGGTGCTGGTAAGACAAGACAAGGGAGGTTTCTGTTGGGGAGAAGGACTGCCTTGGCTGTTGGACTCCAGAATATGTGTGTTATACCTTGGCAGAAAGTTTGTCTGCATTTTGCTCATGTCCAGAGACTTTGCTTGAGGCTGAGATTAAGGGCAGTAGACTAGTTAATCTTGCAGAAGAAATTCAAGACAGTCTAATGTGGAGGCAGTAGCATGGGTACTGTTGGGGGGTTTTAGCCAGATCTGTGTTAAGAATCAAGAGCAAAAAGCCCAGCAGAATGATTTAAAATGTTTTGAGTTTTGCCAGAAAGGAAGCTCCAGTAAAGATGATCTGCAAAGATGGAAGCAGAGGAGAACTCGTTTGCTGAGAAGGAAGATGACAATAGAAAAGACAGCCTGAGGACATCACCAGAAACAGTAGGACTCCACCCTTTGCAGCCTCAAAATTACAAAAGTGAAAGACTTCACTATGAAAAGAGAACCCCTGAGCACCATATTGCAGAATGGTGGCAGCCTAGGGAAGTTGTTCCTTGGGATTTGGTTCATAGGCCCTGGAGCTCTATAGCCAAGAGAAAAGGAAGCCTGGCTACTGCTCTAGCTGGCAGCAGACCTTAGCATCATCCACATGGTGCTGGGTTTATGTGTATGGAGAATGCAAGAGTTGTGGGGTCAGGAAGACTTCCACCCAAATTTGAGAAGAAGGTCTGGCAGGCCAGGCAGTGTGCCTCTGAGAAGGCAGTGTGTGAAGCTGTGAGCCTGAAGCTGAAGGTGCAGTGGAGACCCCAGAAGTTTGGAGTAGCCAGGAACTTGGATTGTTTGAGGAAAACTGCAAGGAGGGAGCAGAGTGGGCCCAAGAGAGAAGCCATGGGAACTACAATCTCTGGCAGTACTATAAGGGTGGACCCACCCAAGCCCTTTGGAGTTCACATCTTGCCACACATTGCTTTGGATGCTAGACATGGAACTACAGGACTTAATATTTGCCCTGCTGGATTTTGGACTTGCATTGTTCCCATTCCTTTGTGTCCCCTTCTTTGTACCTTTTGGAATGGAAATGTCTAACTTGTACCATTTAATGTTGGAAGTGTTAAACTTTCTTTTCATTTGTACAGGGGCTTGCAGCTAAGAGTGTGCCTTAAAGCTTAGATGAGATTTTGAACTTGGACTTTTCAACAGTGCTGAAACTGTTGGGACTTTAGCAACTCCTGGAGATGGACTAAATGCCTTTTGCATAAAGGAATGTACATGAGTCTTTGGGGAGCCACTGGTGGAATGTTATGGCTTGTATCTAGATTACCCCCAAAACTTCATGCAGTCATAGGTGGGGCTTTTTGGAGGTGGCTGGATCTAGGGTTTTTCCTGGTGGGATCAAAGATGTGATGCTGGGATTGATTCACAGTGAGATGCTAGGATCAAGGGTGTGAGTAGCTACCTACCCTAAGGCTGGGTAGCCTGGGTAGCATGTAAGGGACAGAAAGAGCTGTGGTCATAGCTTGTCACGAGTCACTTGCTTGCTTTTGCTGTGTTTTACCTGCCATGAACTGTTTCTCCTCTGCAATTCCCCTCTGCCATGCCACCCTGCCTTGGAGCTAGCCATTCACGGGCTGAAACTTCTACAAACTGTGAGCTGAAATAAACCTTTCCTCTTTTAACTTTTGGTGTTGAGTATTTTGTTTCAGCAACAAGAAAAGTAACTAAGACAGCTAGCTCTTGCCAGCCTGGTCTGACAGCCTGGTTCCTGGCTGTGGCCTCAGAGCCTTCTGTGGATGCTGCTGCTGCCTCTTTTGGAAGTCTTCTTGTGTACCTCTTTGAGCTGTTCTGGACATGGTAGGTACAAGTTGAGCTTATGTTGGTCATCTCTGAACCTCATGGGAAGCTGGGCCATGAATACCCAGGCTCTTGCTCTAGCCTTGCATGCTGCCAGCCTCACTGCTATGGCTGCTTGTAGTGTTGGCTGCTTGGAGGAGGTGCCAAAACCTTGTAGGCAAAATCAGCACATCTTCGGCTGGAGAGGGATCCATCTTGGCCTCTGACCAGCTGGGTGACTTGGAGCAATCTCTGACCTCTCTGAGCCTCAGCTTCCTGGCTGAGAAATGGTGACATTAGAAGTTCCTTCCCACTGGCCTGAGAGTTATGTGAAGTGATAGTCACACCTTTGAGTCGAGGTTTGCTGATTCCCATTCTGTCTTGGAAAGCTGGGCTTCTTTCCTCCTGATGAAGGATCCCCAGGCTAATGGGGGCCCTGGCTTCCCTCTTCCCCCGGCCCTGCTCCACCAACTCCCCTCCCGCTCCCACAGCCAGACTCCTTGGCTGCCTGGTAGTCTCAGTGTGAGGGCCCAGTGTGACTTCTGGGATGTGTGCCATTATGCTCCCGCCCTCATGACTCAGGCACTGTCCTCGTGGTCCTTGGCTGCCACCATCCTGGAAAGAAGGGGCTGGCTGATGGTGCAGGCAGCTGGCCAGAGGGCAGAGCTGGGGCCAGACCCTTGGCCTCCTTGTCTCTTCCCAGGGAAGGGAAAGAGGTTGAGGTGAAGGCAACCCCTTTCGTTGGAGGCCAGAGGAGTGTGCATTGCTGGCTTTCTGACTACCCTTTTGTGCTGTTAGTGATCATGCTTCGTTCTTGGTGATTCCGAGCATCATTTTGTGAGGTGAATGGGGGTGCCTGGCTGGCATTCTGTTTGATGTGGAGTCTAAGTTGCTATAACAACACTGATGCATGTAATTGCAGCTCTCCCTTGTTGGGTCTTTCTTCTCTGGCCCTCTCTCACGTGCACATGCACAGAGGCTTCTACATACATACATACACACACACATACACACACACACACACACACACACAGACACACACACAGGAGACCTATACCGGGCCAGGTGATGGGCAGGGATGTATGGACCTGTCAGGTTTCTCCCTTCCTGACACTATATCTTTGGGCCTGTGGCTTCAGTGTGTGGGGTGTCAGGTACCAGTCACAGGAATGGGTAGTGACCTGCTCCCCAAGAGGAGGGCTGGGAAGCATCTGAGATGGGCTGTGGGCATGAGGTGTGCTTTATGCTCAGTCTCCCACATGCATTGTGAGCCACAAGTTTCAGGTGTCAACTGCTCCTGGGGCTAGGCGGTAGGACTTGTCTGCTTGCTGCTGTGGCTAGTTGTTTACCGGGGGACCAGTGAGAAGAGATGTGAGCCTGGGCCCACTGTCCCACTGTCTCACTGATAGAGACCAGAAGCTCTGCTCTCTGCCTGGGGCAGCTCCTTATTGTTGTGCATGCTAGGCCCTGCAGGGTGCTGTCCTTCTTCTGCCCCATTCCCCTAACCTTGGCTCTGGACTCCACCTTCTTCTCCTGTGACAGGTCAGAGGTCCTCCAGTGAGGGCCATTTGGGCACACCTGTCACCAGCTCGGAGCCCTTCCAACACCTGACCCTCTAAGGCACCAGGGAACTGATAAGTTTTTAAAAGAGGAAGACACATGGGGTATTGAAAGGGATGGCCTGACCGGGAGTATCCTCAGTGCTGACTGGAGGGACCTTGAGCTGTTTATTGAGTGCTGTGGGATTCAGTCGTTCATTGCAGGGTTATGCATTGAGTAGGCAGGAGTTGGTGAGGCACCTGTGGCTGTGATGTGGCCTCTGGCTCCCATGCCCTGCAGTGGCTGGGCTGGGGCAGTGCTTGCTGAGGCAGATATTTCCCCAATGCCCCAGGAACTGGGGGACAGGGCTGGGTAGGCTTCCCAGGGGAGCTTCTGGTGCTGATTCTGAAGATGATCTAAAGCCCAGTGTGCTGGGCCAGAGTGAGGCACCTCCAGCCCTGGTGGGATTAACACTTGAAGATCTGCAGCACTGAGATGTGAGGCAGAGCCAGGTCTGGCCTGGTGACAATACTGGGAGGCCATAGGACTGGTTGTGAAGGTGTGTGTACGTGTATACGTGTGTGTGGGGAGTGAGTGTGGGGAAGGAAGGGCATTGGAGGGTTTTAAGGCCTTTTTAAAAAACTTCTTTTAGAGAAAAAAAGGGCTTTATCTCACTTTGCAAAGGTGTGCCCTTTTCTTGTGGAACACCCCTAAACAAATGGAGGAAATTAATCCCTGTGTCTCCATTGTTGGTGGAGACCCCTTAGACTTTCTTCAACAACATCTTTCTGGTCTTCTCTGTTGTGGATATTTCACACAATTACAGCCTCACTAGCCATCTGGTTTGCACACTTGTTGTTCCACCTGAGAGACCGGGCCATCTGCTAGGTGTGGGGCTTGTGGGGAGTGGGGTAAAGAGGAACTCAGCCTGGTGGGCACCTGTGAAGGGGCTTCAGGAGAAGTGGGTTGGCCTGGGCTGGCTGAAGATGTGCTCAGGATGCTCTGTTTTCTCCGCTGGCAGCTGCATAGGAAAGGAGGGTAGGAGTGGACACCTCCTTTTCTTCAAGGAATTTCAGGTCTCTGCTTGGACCAGTGTCCTCATGGAAGCTCTCTTTCCTAGTGGGTCTAATGAAGTCAGGGCGGGCAGCCTACTGGGAGCCCTAGATGGCCCCCATTGTCATTGTCACATACTTCCTGCCAGTCTTCTTTTGGCACATGTGCAGCTTTGATGGTGATATAATCCACATGCAGCAAGACACACAGATTTCAGATTTCAGCCCCCCACAATTGTGATGTATAGCACTGAATCCCCAGAAGGTCCCTTATGCCCTCCCACTCTGAGAGTTCTGCTGTCACACAAGCGTTTGGCCTGTCGTGGAATTCTGTGTCACAGGGCTCCATTGACACACACCATTTCCATACAGTTCTATCTTGTGCTCCTGTGAGTGGAGCACATCTAGTTCAATGGCTTGAGTGCTTTACTTTGCCCTGTTCTTATGAGCCTCATGTGTGGTTGCACGAGTACTCCTTTTGCAATATTGGGTTGCATTTTGATGCACAGATGGGCCATGGTCTGTCCTTTCTCCTGTGGACATTTTGTGTGGGTGGTGGTGACATAGTTGCTCTGACCATGGTGTGTGCTGTTCTTTGGAACACCTGTTCCAGCTCTCTTGGTAAGTGCCTGGAAGTAGATGGCTGGGCCGAAGTGGATGCATCTGTATTAGAAGCTGCCAAACAGTTCTCTGGTGTGGAACTCCATTCCACACCCCACAGTCAGGACATGAATTCCTCATACTTGTCTTGGGCAAATGTGGCATATGTCTGTGGTCTTGTTTTCACTTCAGCATTATCCTCGGAGCATTTCTCCACTAACATGTGATACTATGTAAAGTTGCTATTATATAGATGTGTAACGTGGTTTATTTAACTGTTTATTATTCTTTAGGTTGTTCCTAGTTTCTTATTGCTTGTTTTGCAATACTCTGGCTTCTCCTGACTTCTGTGTGGATTATTCCTTGGAGCAGAGGTCTTAGGATAAGGATGTGGTTCCTCTGCCTGATTGTTTGCAGAGGACTTGTGCTTTATTTCTCCACTGGACTGCCCCACCTTACTGGACTCCTGTTGCCCCCACTGCTAATAGGATGGGTAGGCACTGGCACCTCCATGTTGGCACTGGCCTTTCTGTGACTTCTCACAGTTGTTCCTCATGGACTGTGGGACATTCACCTTGATTGCTTTCTTCCTCCCTTATATAAGGAGTTTGGAGTTTTTTTAGAGTAAACTTTAGGAGTACTTTATATGTTAAGGATAGTTACATTTGTCATGTTTGTTGCAAATATGTTTTCACTTTATCTTTTGCCTTTTACTTTTGCTTATATTGCATTTTGATTTACAAAATCTTTTTAAAAATATGCTGCCGTATCTGTTTTCCGTGTGTGTTTGTGTACTCGCGCGTGTATGGATGCATATGTGCTTAACATTGCTTTTTATTTGGTGGACTTTTGGAGTTTTATTTTGTTTATGTGAAACTATTTAACCCTTTAATCTACCTGAAATTCATCTTGGTTTAAACTGTGAGATGAAAAACAGATTGACATTATTTCCAGGGCATTCATTGGTTTGAATGTTCTGAATGTTGCGTAAGGGATTTTGGCTGAGGAGGTGAATGAAGGTGCTCTTTAGGATGCTGGCCACTTCTCCTGGTTGGTCAGGGGCTTGTGTGGGAAAAGCCATCCCAGTGCAGAGGAGGGAAGGAGTAGGGAGGGGAGGGCAGACCCTGGGCATCATGCAATAAGTGTGTAGGGTTCTGTGCTCAGCCAGAAGCAGTCCTCTGCCTTCTGTGTTGCTCAGAGGTGTTTCCTCATTCCCTGGTGGGGGCTTCTTGTTAGATTTTCTCTGCTCTGCCCAGGCCCTGCTGGGGTTTGCAGGAACTGCATTCCCAGCGGGACAGGGCAGACCTTTCTTTGTGAGTGTCCAGAGGTGGGCCCTGCATACCCTTCCCTTTGCACTCCAGGGCTGTGCCCCCTTGCTTGGACTCATGATCTCCATATCTGGACCCTGGAGTCCTATGTCACGTGGCCCTTGAGCATATTCTAGTCCCTTTGAACTGCTATTACAAAATACCACTGACTGTGTGGCTTATAAACCACAGGCATGCATTTCTCACAGTTCTAGAGGCTCGAAGTCTGAGATCAAGATGCCTGCAGAGTTGGGTTCTGATTGCAGAAGGTACCTTCTTGCTGTGTCCTCACATGGCAGAAGCAGAGAGAAGCAGTCCCCTCTGCTGGAACTCTTATCAGGGCACTAATCCCAATATCCATACCATCCTTTAGACCTGATAACCTCCCCAAGGCCTTACCTCCTCATGCCACCACCTGGGGGTAAGGTTTCAGGATGTGAGTTTGGGGGACACAAACATTCGGACCATAGCGGAGCTACTAGGCTCTGGTGCTGACCTTCTGAGTCTTGGGTACCATCTGAGG